CAACTCAAGTCATTTCCCCGTGGGGACCTCTGTTTTAGGGTCTAGTGTAACCGCAACTAATGTCTTTAAACACGTGCAAATAGTTTTTCTATTTCAATGAGAGCATTGAAAAACAAGTTATTAAGAAAAGCATTAAAAAAAGGCATTAAGAAATGCATTAAAATGCAAGGTTTTCGAGCGAAGAGTTGTTTTACAGCATTTAGCGAGTCTTTCAAAACGTTTTCGAGTGTTCACCCAAAGTGTTTCAAACAGAGAATAAAATCAACGGAAAATATCTTCAAATTCTTGGAAAATAATTAAAGAAGCTATATGACCGGTCGGTAACTTCGAAAAACAATCTAGTCCAAAAACTGTACAATTGTCCTGGACAATTTGGGATAACGTTGCAGTTTCGTTCTCAGTAAAATTGGTCAGTGGAGTGACTATTTCTACTTGAGACACGAAATTCCCAAAACATGATATTTGTTGTCATAGGGCCATCTAACACTAGAGCTTCGATTACCCAAGGATTATGGCCATTATAATTAACATGCTCAGCTTCTTTGGTTTCATGATGAGATCGGAAATATATATACTTATCTCTTCTCTCCTTACCGTATCATACCTGGTATATTCATCATATAAATGCACCTAATATATTCACCATATTGTACCCGAGATATTTCCCGGCTTCATGCAATATGAGCAGTTTGGGAATTCCACTTAAAAATGAACTGGATGGAAATTTACATGAAAACTAGACGATGAACAATTATTCGTACAAAATGATATTAATACAGTGTATTGTGCAAATCCAAGTGGGATATTTCATAAACGTAGTTATATTTCACTATTTATTGAAATAAATAACTTTTTATTTTCATTTTCACAGGAGGTTTGAATAGTGCTCTGAAGCCACAGTGACGAATGCCGACAACATGAAGAAATTAAAGACATGATGATTGCGAAGTCCAACGAAAACTTGAGTATAATATAATTGATCTTGTTTGATATAATAAAAGTGTGTATAGTTCTAGAGGTCTATATGAAAACCGTTACCTCGATAATGAGTATTTGAGCCGGTGGTCTGCTTGAAGTCAGTCGATCTTTTCACATGATTTTTCTTTCATAGTAGTTTTTTCCCACTTTGTGTAAATCTTCAAAGAGAACTTATTAATTTTTGCTAAAGTGATTCCATAAAAGTCACTCACGGTTCCGAGTGAAAAACAGGAAAATCGAGGAGCAAAACCTACGACTTATTGACCCTGGTTCCAGAGGTTTTCTCTTCTGTTATAGATGTGTTTTTTTACTATTTAGCGTATTTTTATCTTTGCTTTTGAAATTTAACGTCGTTAAAGGAATCAGTCTTGATTTTTTCCTGTAGATCACTTGAGCCGAAGTCTGATTGATGAGATGTTGTATCGTGATTGGTTGATAATTTCGTTTATCGGCCCATACTCTATGTACACTGACTATATCTCATAGTCACTCTGTCTAGAGTTTTTTATTTAATAATTGAATAGATTTTGTAGAGAGCAATATTGAGAGCATGATTACTTAAGTCAAGAATAATTCTATTAACAGAATTCTAGATAGCTTAACCAGCCAAAACCAACAAATCATAAGATGAACAATCAATGTCAATCAGCTTGTCAATCAGTTTGTCCTGGCCGATGTACTGATTGACAGCTGTCTGTCACAATTGTCACTGAACACAATGAGAATAATCAGTACTCTTGAATCATTTAATCAAATGTCAAATATGATTGTCAGCTGTCAATCATACCGATAGGTTATGTAAAACCGCATTACAAGGAGTCTTTGCAAATGAATCTTGTGACAGCTGTTAAGCACGCTTTCCTTAGCGTCTTAATTCGTATGGCGTAAACAAAGGGATTGACTGCAGAAGAACTGAACGCAATGAAAATACCCCACAACCAAGACCTGTAAGTATGCAACTTAAAACAGACGTCATTTGAAGAAAACTCAATAACAGAGAAAACAAAATTTGGAGAAAATAGAATAATAAAAAATCCAATTATAATCCCAATGGTACATGACGCCTTGTGGTTGTTGAACTTTCCTTTGATTTCTACAGTACAGTATTTGGATGAGAAGCGAATTTTATTAATTTGACTTTGCGCAGTTCTGAATACGCGGAAATTACAGTAGGACATGATAAAAGCTGGTAACAGAAAGGTTATTACCAAGGAAGAAACCCACAGAATAGAATCAGATGCTTGTATACAAATAACAGAAGGAAAAATAGCAGAAAAAGTCCAGATGAAAACAATGACCCATCGTGTTGGCTTCTTTTTGACAAGCTTTTGGTAACGAAAAGGGCAGGTGACTGCGAAGTAACGATCCACGCTAATGGCAGTCAAACTAAACGATGTTGTTATTAGTGTTTGAATCCAAATATAGTTTTCAAACTTGTACAAAGGTGTTGGTGTAACCCAGGTCTTAGTCGTTGTTAATGCAATGTACATTGGATTTACAATTAATCCGACGGACAAGTCTGCTGCGGCCAGTGAGCAAAGTAACATGTTTGATGCAGTGTGAAGTCTTCGAGATCTGTAAACTACTAACAAGATAATACCATTTCCTATGATGGCAACAGTTCCTGATATGGAATTACAAACGACAAACACGATGTACTCAGGACCAATAAGATCGGCACTGCATTTAGGGTCACTAGAATTGCTTGTCCACATTGCCATAGCAAATGCCTTGTTTCGTCGCTATGTCAAGGTAATAATCATTTCCCCTGTTTGAATAATAATGAACGGAAGCACACAATAACGTGCCTTTTGCACTTTCCACTTCACCTGCTCAAAAAATCTTTCAAGTTTCAAGATTTCTCTTCGTGTCAATGAATATTCATCATAAAAATCACAAATGAGTGTCTTTCCATGTTGATACGCCTTAACCAACAATTATTAGACCACACATACTGGTATTTAAAGAGCATTATTCTTGAACTCACGCAAACAATCCTACAAAACGCGCCAATACAATGCGAAATAAGTACATCATTCCTTCATTTGAATATTTATTTGTCATCTTGAAAAACAAGGAAATATAATTGAAGCATTCAATAACATCCTCTAAGATCCTATCTAGAGAAACACTTCAACATCCACTTAAACTGCCAATGGTCAGCCCACAAGCTATATACTCGAGTGAAACGGTATCAAGCTCAAAATGGCACTAACACATGATAATATGACAGCAGATATCCCTTGAAACACATCATCATATAATAACAGTGTTTTTTTCACTGTAAATATTCCATTTATTACATGACGCAAAGGTTTGTCTAGAATTTTCGCTAATCGTGACATCGGTAAGGTGAAATATTTCCTATCTTGGTGTTTTGGTGGTGACGCAAATGGACGGCCTAGGGCCGGAATTACGCCTTCGCGGCATTTTACTTGACTAATGATAAAACTTAGAATTATACGCGCATCTTATATGTTATTTTCTCAGTAGGCCACGAACTTTTGCCGCTTCATTCCGAGAATAGTCAATACGCATGTACGAGGTGACAAGTTGACATCAAAATTTCCACTGCAATTGACAAAGTAATTTAGTGAACCTCTCTGACTGTGATCAAACAAATCTAATACTCGACCGAGACATACAATGATTAGAATTAGTAAGTGCTATCTGAAACATCTGTTTAATTTTGTTCTGTGCTACAATTATCTTGCAGTTTTAGTCATTGTCATCGACAGGACAGTTCGATTAATCATGCTGTTTTCATTTTAAGTTTGAAGAAAAACTGCGGAAATTAGTTTTCTAGATCGATAAGCTCGTTTGCTGTTCTAAAGATAATTTTGCTCCCACTTTAATGAATCTTTTTACAATTTACACTTTTAGCCATCACAGCGTATTCAAATTGAGCAGTTTTTGTGTTCGCCATATTTGATTGTCGATTGCTTTAACTATGCTTTACAGAATCTCATTTCTGCTGAGACTAAGACCAGAAGTACGTATTAAAACAGGTTTTATTTTGACGAACATATTTTTGGTGCTATAAATATAGAATGATTCTCCATTTTGTTTGATATGCTATAATCAATGATGCACGCGCAGTGCCGAAGGGGAAAGGTGCAGACCGTAGTGACGACAACTGGCGAGTCCTAAAGGCTCCTTTCCCTCCTCCTCAGACGTCACTTTTCTATAAAAAAAATAACGGGCTTCCTGTCTTAAATCAAAAAGAGCGGGACTAGTAACATTGTGTGCGCCCAGATCGTGTTTTTTTCTCAGACGCGTTGGTGGGACTGGGTGATCTAGGCTAAACTTATCCGAATATAAACTGCACTATTTTGTCATGGCTTTAGACTTATCGTAAGTTTACACTGCTATAAAAACGACATTCGTTTAAACGCATAGAATAGAGACCTTAATATACACTGGTCTACGTTTGTTGTTAGGTGATCCTACGTTCATGCATTCTCAAACTTAATAATATCGCCAAAGATCCCGCCATATTTTAATATGGATTAAACTAATTTTCATTCAAAGACAATTTAAATAGAAACGCACCACATAAAACAAACTACAAGAATTGACGCTGAAAGAAAAAGGAAGACTAAAAAATATATAGAATGTCGAATATGTATAATGATATGAATAGTAATAACAGAGGGGTGTGTAGGAGACTATTGAAATCCCGGAAATATCTTAAGACTGCAGTCTGCAAAAAAATATCGAAAAAATTCAAGACGTCGAGACTAAAGTAATCACTCGAGACGCATGGTAAATGAACAACTGATATCGAACCAAACCGAAGACAGCATTAGTTTTTCCGCCCTTATTTGCCATTTACAAAGTTCACTTGACGCTATGTAAAAATCACATACATCGTGATGATATACTATCAGAATCTCTACCAGATTATATAAATATATATATATATATATTGCTATGAAACACAGGGTACATTGACAATAAACTTCCCTGAAACAGGCATGGGCAATAGCAGCGAAAATAATGTCATTAACGTACCTACACCGTACTAGTATTGCTGGTCTTTTAGCTCAAAAGGTTGTGATGGTTATAGTTGATGAGTCATGGAGTAAAACTGATCCCAATGCACTCTTCGCTGATCTGACAAAAGTAAGCGTGGATGTACGCGTTTTAATGGTCGAATTATAAAAGAACTGAGCAACCACGACTTAAAATACTGATGACGTTATCGTATTTTGTAGTTTTAGTCGTAACCCGATTGCAAGTATTACAACGGTGGATTGATTTTATTATCGTCTTACGTGGTTTTTGTCAGTAATTATGATATTACAAACCAGCTTTCTGTGTGCCCTTTTTACAGTAATGCTTACAGTAAACTCCTTAAAGAACCTTACTAACTAATTATCGATCTTATGCCATACTTCCGTTAGACCCACTACTTGTCAATCTTCTCGCAAACAAAGAAAAAAGACGATTCGAAATCTCGGAAGCTTTTCAAGCAAGTACTAAAATCTCCTCTTTGTTTCAATTTCTCTATTTTGGAGTTTTTTTGATTTTTCCTCTAAAGGCCATCAACGACTACACATGTGACATGTGGATTTACGGAATCACTTCAGCACGGGGATCACCAAGATACTTATCAGATCAAAGATTGTGGCAGAAACTTCTGATTAACTCTAAAAAAGGCAGTTTTGAACTCCTACTGAATTGTAGCTTATCAAAGAAAACAAAAAACGACAACACTGAATTCTAATAAGACTGAGCCACAAGAAACTGAAAGATAGGTGTTGCGGCACCAGGAAACCAAACAATGTCTCTACTTTATACCTGAACCCATTTTTCAGGGCTGGTTTGTCAGGGGGGGTTTGTCAGGGCTGGTTTGTCAGGGGGGGTTTGTCAGGGCTGATTTCTGCACGTCAAATTTGTGGGTAAACAATATAATCTTTGAATTAATTAACTGAGTTTAAATGAAGTATTGTTATTGTTGTTGTTGTTGTTGTTGTCTTGTTATTGTAGTAGTTGTTGTTGTTGCTATCGTTGTTGTTATTGTAGTAGTATTAGATGTTGTTGTTATCGTTGTTGTTGTTGTTGTTATCGTTGTTGTTGTTGTTATCGTTGTTGTTGTTGTTATTGTAGTAGTAGTAGTTGTTGTTGTTATCGTTGTTGTTATTGTAGTAGTAGAAGTAGTAGTAGTAGTAGTAGTAGTAGTAGTAGTAGTAGTAGTAGTTGTTATTGTTGATGATGATGATACGATAATTGGTATATAGTAACAAGAAACAATTTTTGTAATGTGCGCATGACTACAATCTAACATAAAAACTAATTATTTCCTCAAACAGCCTCTGTGGCGCTTATAACGCCAGTCTGTCATTAATGACATTCAATTGTACGAGAAACAAAAAGAAAGCAATACTAGGACAAGAAATCAATAATAATAAACTCTATACATCGACTTACCAACCAGTGAAACGTTTAACAATATCAACCTTCAAGAGTAAAAAAAAAACAAATACGGATAAATGTTTGGTCAACCAAATGAAATGAAAATATAACACCCATTCATTACATGTAATTACGTTTACATCTATCAGACTTATGCGTTTTATCCGCCACACCGTGTCGACTTTAAACCTTTAAAGCATGCAAAGACTAACTTTCCCGAAACCTGATGACGTGAGGGTTGTGATCTCTCGAAAGTGAATGTGCCTTTTTCCCGTTTAATGCGAGTGACCACCGTTTTATTTGACAAAAAACTCTCGTCTTGCGCAATTGCTTTTTCAAACTAAAAACAAGAGAGCACGAAAAGTTCTCGTACAATAGCACAACACATTTATATTTTCTTCAATTTGAAAAGAATTCAAAGTGCACTTGAAATGACAACTTGTTCATTTTTCCTTTCATTTTTTAATAAACGTTTTAGCGCAAAAGAGTCTGTTGTCGGCTAAAACAGCGGTTGCTCGCTTTAATTGAAAGGGAAAAGGCAGATATCTTAAAAATCGGATGTTGAATCGTAAAAACTGTAGAGTACATCAATCTGATGAATTCAGTGTAAGAAGACTGATAAAGAAAGTTCATTTCCCTCAAGATTCCTTCAAGGATAAAAAATGATTTATAGATTCGACGTCTTATAGTGAACGATTACTTATTATTAAAATACTTGATGCTGAAATGGACTCTCTTGAAGGACTGCCAGTATTGATAATAAAGGTCTTCATCAGGAGTGTTCACACAAAATGGCAAAATAATAAATACATTGCTGGCGAATATGATTTTTTCCAAAGTCAGAGAGATTAAAATACCTGTGAGATACTTAGTCAGACAGAGAGAGATATATATACCTACGAGATGCTTGTCAGGAAAATATTCCTTGCTTGTCTGTTGCCTCTAGAGCCCTTTGAGTTATAAACTTTCCAGTATAGCGACTGTAGTCTTACAATAAGAGTGTTCTTAAAGAAAACGTGCTTAATTAATTACTATGAGAATATGGCGTGTACTCTACTTGATAAGCTTTATACAGTTCTAACTTAAGGCAATTTACTGTTGAGTTATCTGTAAGTCGTGATCACAGAATGACAGTTCTCGTACTGGGTTTAATGCGTCGTTACCTGTCAGGAAATAATAAGCAATATTAATTAAAATGGGAGCTAAAAGTGAATATAAAAGAGGACACGACGCCACAAATAAAAGGGTTTTATTATTCTAATTTAAGTGTTGCTCTTCGCTGGTTCAGGAACTATACAATAACATACTTACCAGTCATCGACCGCTTCTATGTATAATGTGTGCTGTTTAGTTTTATGAATCATACTAGTATATACATGCTAATAATAATATTTAAATTAAGAAGAACCGGAAGTTTGATAACAGCCACAAGTTGAAACCAATTCAAACCTATTTCACTCTTGCATTCTACCGTGTATTAGTGACAGAGAGATGAGATGTTTGCTCAGTCAAAAAGCAGTATACCCTGATACCACGATGCATAATGCAACACATTCGTGGCTAAAATAAAAAAAATACGGCAAACTTACGGATAAAGAATTACACGCACGTACCGTGGTCTAGACTCGTTACAAACATCTTTTGCTCATGCAAGCAATACATGGGCGTATCCAGGATTTTCATTGGGGGGGGGGGGGGGGTCCTTACATACCAAATTGTCACTGTGACGTCATATACCGTCAACATAATGTCATATCAATCTATGGTTTTCAGTCTTTTATGGCTTTGAAAGGGGGGTCACGGGCACCCTGTGATCCCCCCTCCTGGATACGCCTCTGCAATAGATAGGGTATGGTTTAACCTGAACCACGATAAATAATGTTTTAAGTCAATGGAACCATGTATTATCTGTGTTAGTATGGTTTAACCTGGACCACGATAAACAATGTTTTTGGTCAATGGAACCATGTATTACCTGTGTTAGTATGGTATAACCTGAACCACGATAAACAATGTTTTTGGTCAATGCAACCTGTTTTGTCTTCACGGTCAGCGGCTCCTTTCATTTGCTAACTGACGTTTTCCCACTTGTTTCTTTTGAATTTGAATTTTCAAGGACATTCACTCAAACATAAAAAGAAAATATTTCGACTAATATCTCTAAATGCTTTGGAAATATAACAGCACGAAAAACATCATTATTTTAAGAAAACTATCAATATTATCAAGATAACGACAGCGCACTCAATGGGGCCCTAATGACTGAATCGAAATTCATATCAATAAATAGCCCGCCCTGTCACGAGGTCTTTGTCATCACGACTACGCCAAAAACGGAGCAAATAACACAAATATTTTCTGGCAATTTCCCTTTTTTTATGTTGTTGAAGTCAGTTGGTAAAATCACCGGTAATACGAAATAATTACAGGCAATGGATATGAGTAAAGTCGCGTTCTGATTGGCTGATGCATTAAATATTTATACATTTAGCATAAGATCACGCACATTTACCTGGCTCCTTGTGCTCATCAATCATTAGACTCACGCCTTAGTTTTTAAGTTTAACATTCAAAAGGTTTCAAAGGGGGGTTTACCCGAAGTATTAAAATAGCTACGACCGTGTATTTAACATTCAAAGGGTTYAAAGGTGTTTGCACCTAATAAATATCTACGACTGGGCTTCACAACTTGCAGTTATTATCGACATCACACAGCGTAGACATCTCGCTATGACGTCTAATGGAAAATAGATGAAGGAACTTATTACTGTGAGAGTACGATAAGCAGTGAAAGGGAAGTTACAATAAAGCTGTTTAATTCTCCCAAACAACGCTACTCAGATAATAATTAATACAGTTTAAAATTCTTTACTGCAGTATATAGTTTCGTTATTATATATATATTGGTATTGTACGTGTATTTCCACAATGTTATTTATCGTCATCATCTGAAAAGAAAACGAACAGGTTTAGATCATAATTAATCCTTTATTTACAACTAATTGTTTCCTAAGGACAATTTTCCATGTCCCAGAATATACCCTTGAATACATGGTATAAGTATCTTTAACACACGCGATGATGACATGATATTAGTCATCCACCAGCATCGTTATCATCATCATTTACGATCATATTCATCATATATGCAATTAATATTCAATATAACAACACCATCATCGCTTAACTATCACAAGATGTAATCAACATCATTACGATTATCGTCACTTACATCGTCTAAAGGATAGCTATGTATATAAAAACACTTCATATTATTACTGTAGGTAATTACGAGGACCATGTATGGCTAGTTTGCCCTCAGGGATCGGCAACACACATCTAAAAAACTAATGGAACCGCTATACTTTTTATCACTAAAAATGACTGAGATACCTTTTTTAAAAAGCTTTTAATATTGCTTTAACATGAAATATAAAAATGGAGTACAATACGAAACGGGAAACCCGGAAACGGGTTTTATCCATGAATCTTAGCCAAAACGGTGTACAGCATATTAAAGAAACGTTGTCGCACTAAAAAAATATTACAATGGAAATAATTCAAGCCCAGTCTCGCTGTCATGACCACTGGAATCCCTGAGATCAGGGCTAAGGGTTATCATTTGAACGAATAAAGATATTTCCTACTAATCACAAATCCTACAGAAAAGTTCATCGGCGATTGGTAAGGAATAAACAATTTCCCAATTTGACATTTCATATGACGTTGTGCCATGATGTTTATGCGATCAACAAGCATTATTTGTTTATTTGTTTATTCTTGTCTTTTAGTATACTATAGTGTGTTGCCATAGTATTTGTTTCTAAAGCCTTCTCGAGAACACATAACACTAATTTCGCATAAACAAGTACGACCAAGTAGTCCTGTGTAGTTTGTATAAGGCATCCGCCATCTTGGTACTTTCATCAGTAACCAAGATGCACTTCGCCGAAAACATGACGTCATTAGCTGTTATAAGAATCATTAACCTACCCTGATTTAATGCAGTCAGGCCAGGGTAGGGTGGTGGGGCAAGTACTATCGGATGGACAGACTGGTAACCAACGACCATAGAAACATAGATAAAAACTAGCAACAGCACCATCAAACTTGTACCCTTTGTTACACTTAGCCTCACAGCGCATGTCTGGCCCTGGCGTTAGCAGTTTGCACGTTAGGTAGCCATTCTTGGGTTCGTCGTAGTGGGGACATTTCATCGCTGATACAAAGAAAACGACAGATTAATTAATCCATAAAAATAAGAAAAGAAAAAAATGTATAGAAAGATTGTTCTTTAACGGAGGCTCTTTATTTTGCATCACGTTTTTGCTAATATTTGAGAAGCATGAAATGACACTTTTTATGATAATGCGGGTTTAAATCAAGCAAAATGTTTACTTTTTTACACTTGATTCATGTGCGCAAACAAACGGAACAAACACTTCACTAGTGGAAAAGATCACGGTATCAGTTACTTGAAAATGAAATTGCACAATGAGAATGAATGAACAATTCAATAGACCGATAATGAGATCATTTATCTTGCCCTATTAGACCACATTCACAACACAGAAGTCTAGAGACTATGTTTGTTTTGTGACAATCCCCAAGGAAATGAAACACAAGACAAATCTTTACAAAAATACAAATCATTGCGTACGAGGCTGATTGCCAATGGACACTGATCTCATTTAATCAAGTCTTACTGATTCTAACAACATAGCAAAGCAGATTGTGAACATAAAGATCATTGTAATTGTAATCCGAGTACTTTTTTCTCCCTGATACTCATATTATTGTAATCAAAACAAAAACAGTTTAGTAGTAATCATATTCACACTTTTGGTGTTAATCCATGGAACGCGGCCAGTTTAATTGTTAGCACGAATACTGAGCTGCCCGAGATTGAGGCACTTTTAAGGCAAAAGAATTAAACTTTGTTTTTCCAATTGCCAATACGCATCAACTTTTACTTACGATTGTTGAATCTAAAATAATCCATCTCGAAATAACTTTCTGAAGGCAAATAGAAAATGCTTCTAATAAAATACTTCTAATAAATGGTCTAAACAGGTGACGTTTTTAGCTTTACAAAGAAATATAGTAAAATACAGCTTAAGTATAGAAATTAAACAAAAAAGATCACACACACAGTTATCTTTAAGTTGTATAATAACATAATTTGAATGAGCTTACCTCCCAAAACGACGGCATTCAAAAGACAAAGCAAAACCAGTCCAGATAAACGACCCATCTCTACCGGCGTGATTGCAAGGTTTGAGTAGGTAAAATGATAAGTTCTACAAAAAGTCCATTGTGATTGCGGTCGAGGTTTGTTTGTAGAACAAAGGGTTGCCATGTACAAGGTGTCGTGTTTGTGTATAGAGCTGCACAGAGAATTAAGCGGGAAATGGCCCGCTAAAGTTAATGTTTGCACTAGTGCACGGAAACAAACGTTTGAAGACTAATTGAGGTACTTAGAAGGATCTTCTTCAGGCTTTGAGGAACAGATTGCTAAATATTATTGCTAAATAATAATATCAATGAATAGTAATAAATATTTACTGTCATCAAATGACTAATCGTGAAGGATAGAGATGGAGCAGGTCACCTTTAAACGTTTTCTTATCTCAAATTTAACAGAATGGTTTCCTCAATGATTTCTCGGAGTTTTGTTCGTATTACTGTTCAAATTTCTAGATATTTACAAGCCACTATTAGCCTGAGAACGGTTGCATACGTTGTGAAGTTTACTTAGCCTAAAATAGTGCTAAACAGATATTCGCGTACGTTAATATACTGCTTGTTGCTTTTATTTTACCAAAAAGTTCATATTATAATTATATCTTGTTATTTCGCCTCAGCGAACTCTTCTATTTCTAATATTTTAGATTTCTTTCTTTTGACTAATAATTTATTTGCTTCATACTTCACTCCGATTACTTTTTTATAATAATAAATAATGATGATGATGATGATGATGATAATGATAATGAGGATGGTAATCATTTGAAGATTTAAGAGATGTTTTTTGTTTATCTTTTATTTTCATTTTTACTATTTTTAAGTAGTTTAACTCCCTCAGGCAAAGAATCTGCAGCACATCGAAATCCAAGGTTAGAGGCTGTAGTGTCCGGTGAGTTTTGACTCCTTGCAGCACTCCGATACCGGTAGCAATAAGACTGTGAAAAAAATTACACTTCATAAAAAACTCAAGATTTGCCTAAGGAAATGGAAATTAACCGGCAAAAAGTGACGTCTTTTTCTTCAATGATTTTTCTTTTATAACTGAATATCCGTTGTGAAAAAAAGATAAATTCAACACCGTAAAAAATAGGTGAAACAACCTACTGACGTTTCGGACGTTAATCTTTCTCTTTACTCCGATGAAGGATCAACGTCCGAAACGTCACGTTATTTCACCTATTTTTTTTAAGGTGTTAAATTTATCTTTTTATACAACTGTTTATTTAGAAACACCAACGCAGCTCACACTAGTTTACCGCTAGTTTCCACCATTTTAACTGAATATCACCCATTTAGTTTTTTTTTTTAATGAGAAAACAGTTGTATTTGGAGAAAACCGTTAGAGCAATGAGCCATCTACCAGCTCATCAAATACAGTTGATATACGTATGGTTACAAAAATGAAGAAAAAATACCTTATGACACATGTAGGAGCCTCCTTTTTTCACCTTGTCTTTTCCAGTTAGAGGACCAGTCTAATAAATACAAACCATATGATGAAGAACGTATTGTGTAGTGCTTTAAATATATAACAGTCTCGTAGTGGCTTGTGCCGTTACTCACAGGATTATCCTGGAAATCTTTTGTATGTCTGATAGTCCACCAGTCCGCTGTCCATTCCCATGCATTACCAACCATATTGTACAGTCCATAGCCATTAGGTGGGAATGCTGTGACAGGACATGTGCCTTCATAACCATCTTTAGCTGTATTCTTTACGGGAAAGTTTCCTTGCCATAAATTAGCCATGAATTTACCGCCTTTCTTTAATTTATTGCCCCAAGGATATAGTCTGTTGGAGCATTTGAAACTTGATTACAAAATAGCATGGTATGAATACTATCATGACATSAAATAGATTATTTCTAGATTTCATTTCATTTACATACAGTCAACTCTTGCTATTACTGACACCTTCAGGACCATAATTTAGTGTCCTCAGTAGCAATCATTACAAGAGTTACTTTCAGTCATTTCTTTGTATTTTTTTCTGGGGATTCAGTATTTTACTGTTTGCAATATYGAGGTGTCCATTGTAGCAGGGTGTCCATAAGGCAAGAGTAGACTGTACATTTGTAGTTATGACAAGACTTACGTATCATCTGATCCCCCTTTCATTGCATATTCAAACTCAGCCTCAGTAGGAAGYCTCTTGTTGGCCCATTTACAAAATTCTACCGCATCATTCCATGAAACATGAAGAACTGGATGATCCATCCTGAGAACAGAACACTCTCAATTAAATATAACACCCTCTAAACCCAAGTGAGAGCATGAAAAGAAGATTTAAATTCAAKACTTACCTGTCTGTTAGATTTGAATCTGGTCCCTCTGGGTTTCTCCAGTAAGCACCTTTTACAGGTACCCACCAAGGAGCTGCAGCAACCTGATATAACAAACAAATAACATATAATACAATAACATTGTATGCTTTAAGTGATCCAAAGCTATATTTCAGACCTAAACTTGAATCAAAATACTGTAGTTTTTTATTTATGAATACTTACTGCTTGGTGAATGTTTTTCTGAATTTCTTTGCTTACTCTTGATTCAAGTACAAAAGAATCACCAAATTTCTCTGCCTTTAAAAAATGATTACAATAATGAAGGAAGATAGAATGTTACAAAGCAGKGCACGTCTAAACCAAGAAAATGTCYGTGGAAAATTCTTWATKAAATTCTTTCAGATGAACACTACTRGGTATTAAGAATGACTGCCATTCAGATAATCTGTWTATTTCTSTATTTTTYAGCCCTAATCACAYCACCACCTCTGGAKTGGCCTTTGTATGGGAMCTTCARCTTTACATGTACATGTAAATCCTTTTGATAGAGAGGGGGTAGAGTGTAGTGTGTCCCTAGCAACATGCATATTATGATCATCTTATCTGACAATTAAATCCATGTCCCCNCACTAAACTAACTTCAAGCTGCATCTTCAGGAGGTTAGGAAGTCAAGCCAACTGCAAAATAAACTGGAGAAAATTGGTTTACATCCACATTCTAATGGTTCGCGTAATGTCTAAGAGTCTAAGAGACTGGTAACTAGAAATGACAGCGATATTTTGATCAGCGGAGAGACGTATTAGTAGTAGATCCAAGATGGCGGTCAGAAACCAGCAGGTTTGCCAAATAATTATCGAGTGTTTTCAAAGCTTTCCGTTAGCGTTTCCTATGTTATCTCTACGTTAATACATACTTTGATTCTATTAAAGGAGCTGAGAAACTCTATCGACAGCGCTGCGCAAGCAGGAGAGCAGTTTAGTCAATTGTATTACGAGATGTTTGACAAAAGACGGCATGTGAGTAGGAAATGCATTTTATGCAATATTCCTCTTCTTATTGTATAAGGCCTCATTTATTGTAATATTTATTGAATCACTAGTTATAGTATTTTTATATTGTCAATTTGAACCACCAGAAAGTCCCCAAGTTATATTCAGCCAGTTCTACAGTTGTCTGGAATGGAAATGTGATCAATGGAGACCTTGAAAAATTAATGGATTTTTATACCAATCTACCGTCAAGTGAACACACTCTYTATTCTTTGGACTGTCAGCCAGTTACAGGTATTTCATGTGAATTATTTGCTTGGATGTCCTGTGTAATATGAGTTTTCTATTTGCGGATAATGATGGGTACTTTTTTACAAGAATCAGGTTGACATTCCAAAAAATTATCATAATTGAAAATTCAAATCCAATACTCAAGTGATTGTTTTAGCTCTAAGGTTAAGAATTAAGGCTTGCTATTGTCGTTTATCAACAGCAATTAGTTTCAATAAACAATATTGAGCCCATAGAGTCTTCATGGCTAATGTTAGTGGTGTACTAATGCTTTGACTTCTGCTAAAATGTGKGCTCTGGGTACAAGATTGCAAAATAACGTCAACCTTTGGGTTGATGGTTTTAAATCAAGCTTAGTCTGAATGGTTGTGGGCTACTTGTGTCATTTGTTTCCTTTGGAAAAAGACAGGAGTTGCTTGTTCAGCTGTAGTAGCATTTACATATTGTCACAATAGATACTCCAAATATACATGTACACCTCTATTCCTTCAATTGATAATAAGTTGTATTATTAATCATTTCTTGCAGAAAATGCTATCCCAGGAAGAAATACAATACTCATTGTTGTTGAGGGATGTGTCAAATTTGAAGGCCACAAATCAGAGAACTTTTCACAGAATTTTCTTTTAACTGTTGAAGGAAGTTCAGAAGGTGGACAAGTCTGGAGAGTAGCTAGTGATTGCTTTAGATTTATTGAGTAAAGCAATATGAATCAGAAAATAGAAGTGGAGTATGCTAAGATATCATGGGAAATATGCTGAGAAGTGCGAGTACTGACAAGAGGGTCTTCTAACTGCTGCATCACATGTTCATCATCCAAATCACATGAACCTAAATCATGGTGCAATATTCTTACTAATATTTATGGGTTGTTCCCTGTATTTCATGTCAGGAATGTCGTTGAATAACCTTTATGTAACTATACTTCTATTGTAGTAATAATAGCTTTTTAATAATATATGTGCGTTCAGTTTTCCAACACTGACAAACTGATGTATGGGGCGAACCATAGCATAAGTGCTGGGCTTTTCAAGCAGAGAAKTGTAATAAAACTAATTCAAAATGATAAATGACATTTGGAGATATCAAAGCTATTTTATTCAATGTAATCATCTTTACAACTTAATTATTTCATTCAAACAAAAATTGAACAGATAGTGTCATCTGCCAAGCTGCATTAAAGCACTGTTTGCATTGTTGCTATACAATTATGAGTGATATTACATTATTGTATGAATGGTATTTTATATCATAGATATATCGTCAATTTTGAGTCTCATCAAGATATGATTGATAGACCAAAAAACAAAAGATAAAGAAGAAGTCTCACCTCTTCTAAGTGGTTTAAACTTGCTAGTTAGTTACAAAGTACAACATGAAGGAGTATATGTATCAAGGTCAGATAACTAGACTTGTGTTAGCTATTGGACTTTGGTTACCCTTGAGTGCATATTGAGCATGTGTTATTCTAAATACGATACTTTAGTAATAGTTTAAAGTGCCCCACAGCACTTCCAGATAGCCATTTTTTGCCACGATCCTCCGGATTTAGGTCTAAAGTATACAGCATTCTTGTTTCCTGAAAATAACATGATTGATATTATTAAAAAAATGAGATTTTCACAATATTAATGTTGAATCAGTTACCTCCATAATGGTGGCTGCCATCTTCCAGAATATGCTCRTTTTTGGGATCTGCTTCATTTGTCTCGTTGCCATGAATCACCTTCAGATTGTCTGAGGGCAATTTAGTGACTTCAGATTTCAACTGATCTTCGCTGATAGAACACCAAGTATCTCCTCTCTTTTTTTGCTTCATGTAGGCTCTCTTGTTTCTAGCTATGGCATACAGTACCTCTCCATCATTAGCAATTACTCGGCCTACTTGGTTATTCATGGCTGCAAGTCAACAAGATCATAAAATGATTGGAGTCCAATTCAGATTTC